AACCCTTAACGTTGGGGTTTTTATGTGCACGCATTGGCACAGTTTAGATAATTCATTAACTGGACAAAATACGACAAAATCAAAGAAAATCCCGTGGTCCTGCAGATTTCGGTGTACGCCGACTCTACTATATCACAAAATAAGCTAAAATATGATCCCATTTAATTTTAAGCATAATGGGGCTATCCCGAAAAATGCTGTTTTGAGAAAATCGAAGGTAAAGTATTTGGACCCCTTGTTCAGTTTCACTAAAAGACAAGGAGAGTTTCTTCTATATAACCAACCAATATATACACCAATGAAACCAAACGTCTCCTATAGGTAGGGCAATTACCACTTTTGGTGTAGGTCAAGATTTCTGGAAACTCCCGAAATCTGGGTAAGCCCGCTTGTCCTCGAAAGTGATCAAATTGTCGCAGTCATATAATATCATATATAATAATATGTGTGTCTAAATGCGAAGTTTTTCAGGGGAAGCAAAAGGCTTTTATTACATACAGAACATTATGTTAATTATGTTTAATTCGTCTAACTAGTAACTCGGTTACTATTTGAATGAAGAAGAATGAGGTTAGGAGGAGAAGGACCAATCGACACGCATCACTCAAGACCGTCAACAGCATACGTGATTTTTATTTGTTAAGAATTTTGACATACGACAATGTAGAATGACAGTTTTAGTAAGAGTTTTACGGCACTTGCAACACAATAACAGCATACACGTGCCGAAGATTAGAGGTGTTACAAGAGAGTAACAAACACAAAAAAGAAGAAGGGGAGATAAAGATGATAGATGTTTGATAGGAAAGAAGAAGCAAACCACAGCAGACAACTCGCCAACCACCCACAGAAAAAGAATTTATATGGGTAAAAAGTAGGTGGGACTCGGTATTCACTCAGAATAAGAAACAAACAAAACACATCCTTCGTTTTTTGTTCTCAGAGAAGCCAGTTTCTCCCCAGTCCATGATTAAATTTTAAAAAAAATAGTAGAGGGTTTTACGGCTCTCGCAACTGCAGAAGGTCATAGGAGCGCCAAGGGGTGGATGTCAACAGAGAAGTCTTTACAGGGAATCAGACTTATTCTGCTCACCTCTCTAGCTTCAACAGCACAAGGTCTGCTTCAACTATCATTATCAAGGCACCCAGGAAATAGCGGGTCACAAGAGTGTGACAAACTTACAAAAGAAGTAGAGGAAAATGACAATAGTAAGGATTAGGAAAGAAAAAGCAGCAGTTCCCTGTTGTAGATCAGACACAGTTATGAGCGTGACATGATGAATCAGCCCATTTACAATTCTACTGTGCATGAACGAGAAATTCCCTCCCTTTGGGAATGGTCTAAAGACATTACAGTCAGTGGCACTGCCCCCGGGGGTGTCCATGACTTTGTCACAGCCAGCACTGAATTCCCCAACAGAAACAAGTGGGGAGGCAATCTATCAAAAATACACCAAACAAAACAAAATACGATAATTTCACAATTGAAGTTTAATAAAGTTCAATACCATCAACCATATCAATTCTTTTTTTTTTTGGACACAAAAAACTCCCTAAGAACATTGTATTACATCATTAAAATTTAATTAAATATATACAGTACAGAAAACTGCCACACCAGTCGGACACATTCTGGGAGTGCCCAAGTATTGTCAACTCGGTACACAACGTAGGAAAAAAAAATCCAACTCAACCCCCCCCCCCCATTCCCACAGCACATCTTTCTAGCTAATCTTTTCTTTTTTAGATTGTGTTGTTTTTAACTCCCCTCCCCCCACCACCATCAATTTAAATCATTTAGGAGGCGGGCTTCTGATCCTGTCTGATTGATCAGGGCTAACCCAGGCTCAGTTTACCCCCCCCCCCCCCTCCCCCGACACAACTTAGATCATTTAGGAGGCGGCCTTCCGATCCACTGTCTGTCAGGGATAACCCAGGCTGAGAGGGATACCACATCCACCCCAGCAGAAAGACAGAGGAGAGGGATACCACACTCACCCCAGCAGAAAGACAGAGGAGAGAGATACCACACCACACCCCAGCAGAAAGACAGAGGAGAGGGATACCACACTCACCCCAGCAGAAAGACAGAGGAGAGGGATACCACACTCACCCCAGCAGAAAGACAGAGATACTTGATTGATGAAAATTCTCCCCCACTCCGGGAATCAAACTCGGGCCACCTGTCCAGTGTGTGACAGCGAAGTGCCTAACCGCTACACTACCACAGATGCCCGTCTTGTTAGTCTATTACTTACCAAAGATAAAAACATTTCCCACAGAGCTACTACAACCGAGTCTATCTACCCGACTACGCCAGATTCTGTTACAGCTCCCCCTCTTCCCAAGACCCCAGTTCTACATTCAAGTATTCACCCCCCCCCTCCCCAAAACATCAGCCATAGACTTGTTGTCCTCCGCTACCAAAACAAAAACTTTTCAAACACAGGCTCACCAACTGTTCCCGATTTCCCCATTTTGTCCTGAATTTGTTACGACAATCCCAGATGAAATTCGAGAAACCCACATTTTCCCACCCACTGGACAACTTTTATCAAACTTTTTTGTTTTGGGCTCAGCACCTTTTATACCGATGGAAAAAACCCCAACACCCCTGTGTGGATTTTACTTTTTAAAAAATGATCAAAGGCACACACAAAATGTAAATTTTCTGTTTCCAGAGACAATCAAGCTCAGGAAGTTACCAAACTTTGACGACAATTTTTATGCTTCTGACATCAGGCAACGTCTATTTCCTTCAATCCCAAAAATCTCGACTTCATGAAGCTCAGATAGAAATAGGTATTTTTTCCATCAAGAGCGAGGAAAATGAACAAGCTTTATTAAGATAATTCTAATCAACTCCACACGCCCCAAAAATAGAAGAGCGCCCGACTCCATGTGTGTTGCGAGACATTTACTACACTAGACCAACACCAACAACCAGCCCCACTTGACATCAGTTCTGTCCGTTGTCACGTGACTAGCTAACCTAATGAACTGACGTCATCACACTGGGTGTCCCTCACCGAGTTGTGAAAAAGCTGGCAAGCCAGCCAACACAAAGGAGTCCCAACCTAAGAAAAATGAGCTGCCACGCAGGACAGGTTTCTGTGTATCGCATGAAACGTTTCCTGCAACCACATCGGGTAAAATCTCAAATAAAAAACTGTGCGAAGGCGAGAGTAATATGTCTCAACTCTACAGAGTAAAACAGCCCTCAATAACAATGGTCAATACCATTCCCTCGCTGTGGGGGTTAAAAAAAACACAAAGTTTTTTCAAGCAGGAGAATGTGAGGAAAGCAATCCTAAATAATAACAGTGAATCCCGCTCCCTCGCTGTGGGGGGTTAAAAAAACCACAAAACTTTCTCAAACAGGAGAACATGACCAGAAATGAACAACGTTCTCTTTCTGACCACCCATGTCTGCATCAGTTCGGAATAAAAGACTTCTGATTTCACCTCAGCACATTCGGGACCACAAAAAAAAAAAGGGTTTTTTTTTTTTTAAGGAAAACCCCCCCCCCCCCCCCCCCCCCCCCTTTAAACTTTTCTTACAGGAGCCAAACACCCCCCCCCCCCCTTCTTTCCAGGCGTAAAATTATATTTGAATGTCCCCCTAACATACAATTAAACAGATAAACGACTAATTAATAACGGCTTCCAACTTTCTGAGGTGCAGCAAAATGTTGGGAAGAGAAGCCAAGTGCTGAAGCAAACAAAAAGTAAAAAGAGGGATACGCTCACAACTCCAAAGTCCATCATCTTTCCTCACAGCTCAACTCACTCCTCTCACGGTCACACAGACAACTTTCCCTGTACTGTCACACACTTGCACACAGATATACACTGACAACACAGCTCCCGAGCATGGACTCAACACGGTACACACGTAGCACAGACTCAACACGGTACACATGTACTCGAGCGCCGTACATAAAATCTCGCTAAACTAAAAACTAAAACACAAACACTCGCTTCATCAACTGTAGACAGAGCACCTTCATTCCCTGACGACATGCTCCCCCCACTCAAACATCTTTTCACAGAGCTTAAAAAAAAAAAAAGTTATTTGATAACTCGTGCGAAACTAGGTTTAAAATGCAGCTGTTGCAAAGCTGTAAAAGCAAAAATGTCACTATATACAGTCACACCTGCTCTGACGGCCACCTGTTCTAGACAACCACCTGTACAAACGACCACTCCCCATTTCCTCTCTTGTGCTTTTTCAAATAAATATTAAAACAACATTGCCCGAGATGTCCACCTGTTTAAGACAACCATTCTTCCCCTCCACAGTGGGCTGTGATCTCAGAGACAGTTTCAACTGTACTGTAGATGTCTATGTACATTCTGTTACCCACTATTTCCTTTTCTCTTATGGTAAAAAATAGACAGCTTAACCCAAGAAAACTGGGCTTGAGGGAGGTACAGCAGAGCACATCCCCCACAAAACTGCTCCCACCATCAATAATCTATTTATAGAGGCACCCGCCGTCCATGTCCAGGTGCTGTTTTAGCCACAAAGTTGCTCCCACCACGATGAAAAACTCCCCCGTAAAACCATTTGATAACGATACATTTTTTTTTTACATGTGAGCCCTGCAGACAAAATGAGCTGCTTGTGGGATTTTAGCCCCATGGTCATATATACCATGTATGTCACATGTAAAGGTTGGGTTTGTAGAATCTATTACCATGAAATGACACAAGACCACGTTCATCTAGAAGAAGAAAACGGCACTAGCTGAAGATCGACAAATTTGACCAGTGTCTATTTTTGGCAGATTTCTACATTCACGTATTGTGAGAAGCAACTCATTTTGTCAGCACGCCTCACGTACGACGTTTGGCATGTAGGTATTGACGGTAAAAGATAAAAAAACCAAACAAACAAAAAAGAGGCTAAAACAAGCCCCACACACATTAAGAAATAGAAACGTAGACACCAGAGAGAGAGAGAGAGGGGAGGGGGGGGGGGGGTAGGGGGGCGGGGGCCGAGGAGAAATCCCTGGGGTAGGGGTGGGGGGAGCGATGTATCGACATAGATCTAAAAAGGGGCCCTAAAAACGTCCTAATGTCGTCGGGACTTGTGGAAATAGTTCTTGGTGTTGGGGAACTGGTCTGAGCTGTAGTCCCGGTCGCTGGTCACGCGAGACTCCAGCACCGAGCGAACCTCCCGCTCCAGCTCCGCCTGAAGGTCAAGGTTGTCCGCCGCCTCTCGGAGCAAGTTCTCCTCGCTGCTGATTGGCTCGGCGCCCACGGCCCGTGCAGCCCGCGACAGCGAGGCAGGGAGGTACTGCGGCATGTTGCCCATTTCTCCCGCGTGCTCCAGACCCATCATCTGACGGTGAGAATGGAGAAATGGTACAGGTTTAACGCCCCTATACACATGACAGCCCCCAACTCTAAAGATGCAATAAATTCCCTAAGTAGAAGAGAACAAGTCACGATCTTTCGCCTGTGAACACAACACATACCACTAAATTCCTACCCTAATAGGATCCGCAAGGATACCCCACCTGACAGCCCGCTGTGCGACTGCCAGGATGAAACAGTACCACACCGCCTCTTTAACTGCCCAGCACTTTGTGACCTGCGTAGCACCTACCTACCTGCCTCCCCAGACATCGGAAATACTCTATACAGCGACAAAGCACAGCTGATTAAAACCTGTTAATTCTTTGCCATATCGACAGACCAAAGGGCTAGAACCCAAATGGCCGCTGGATCGGAAAAGTAAAGTAAAGTAAAGTAACGCCCCTATCAACACTATTAGGTCTAGTGACACTGAATAGGAGTAAGAGAAGAGAGCAACAAAGTCAAAGAATAAGAGAAGAGAAGCGACAAAGTCAAAAAGTAAGGAAAGAAAGAAAAGACAAAGAGTAAGAAAAGAGAAAGAGCAAAGAGGAAAGAAAGAGAACACAAAGTGAAGAGCAAGAGAAGAAAAAAAAAAAAAGACAAAAAGAAGAGAAGAAAAAGAAGAGAAAAGAGAAAGAAAGAGACAAATTAAAAAAAGAGACCCCCCCCCAAAAAAAAGAAGAGACAAAGAGAAAGACATAGAGAGAGGCAGCAGAGGTACGTACCCTCCTACGTTTGGCCGGTAGGCCCTGTAGGTAGGTGTCACTGAGTGGACAAAGAGTAAGACACAGAGAGAAAGACACAGAGATAGAAAAAACAAGAAAGACACAGAGAGAAATACGCACAGAGAAAGATACAGAGAGAGAGACACAGAGACAGAGGTACTTACCCTCCTGCGTTTGGCTGGCAGACCCTGTAGGTAGGCGTCGCTGAGTGGGGGCTGGGGTCTCTGTGTCTGTTGGCGCACAGAGTCCTGGCTTATCACTGGGATCCAGTCCTGGTACAGTGGAGGGGGGAGGGGAGGGAGGGGAATAGGGAGAGGAGGGAGGGGGATGGAGGAGAGGGGGGATGGATGGATGCAAGACTTATTACAAAAACTGAAGTGGAGATATCTGTGATTGAAGGAGGTGGGGGTTGTCTGGTGCCAAAGGTAAAAGTAAAATAGCAAGAAAATGGCTGCCAAAACTTGAGTGTCCTAGAAAACCGTAAATGTGCATTCTTTTGTGCCTTTGAGCAAATGTTCTCCAATAAAATCCACACAGAAATGCGTTTTTAAATAGACAAGGAAGGGGTTGAGAGGGAAAAAAAAAAAATAAAAAAAAAAAATAATAATTGCCAAACGGACGGAAAAATGTCGGTTTCTTTGATTTCGTAAATTTGACAAGGCCTGATTTGACCTCAATACCATGACAAAAATCTTGTCTACAATCTTTCCTCCCAGTCTCACAGTGACAGAAACTACGGACAACACTTCTCCCCAAGGTACCTGGGGTATAACCGACTGCCAGGAGTTGTCTGTGCTTTGACCGTTGGTCAGATCGGCCGCGGGTCTGGGTCGGGGTGCGGGGCGGGACGAGGTGCCGGCAGACGTGGGCAGGGAGGTGGGCTTGTTGTTGCTGGCGCTGCGGGCCGCGGGGGAACTGCTCAGTGTCTCCTGGGCATCCACGAAGATCTCGCCCGAGGATTCCTCGCTCTCAGCCGTCCGGGGCACCTGGGGGTGGGAAGGGGTGGGGGTGGAAAGGGTCAGGTTGGGTTCTCGTGGCTCCACTTGTTTACTCTTAGAAGTTGTAAAGTGTTGTTCCCGCATCCGTTCCGGACATTGGGGATTGCCTTGTTAGTGAGACAACTTCCTGGGTCTTCGGCATATTGTGGTGGGGTGGCCACTTCCTTTCCACGCCGCCTTTACTTCCCCAACTCGAAGTCAGGTACCCATTACTGCTGGGTGGGCAGGAGGGGGCAGAAGAAATCCGTGTCCAAACCGAGGCTCGAACACAGACTTTCCGCTTCGGAGACGAGCGCACAAATTGCTCTGCCGCTGCACCCTCCAACTCTTGGTACAGTCAAACAAATCGTCTAAGACTGCTAACAATTCGCGACCTCAGTCCTTTCTTTTCATATCTCCATTTTTTTTTGGGTTAAACATTGAAAATGTGACTTCTTCTTAAGCTTTGCTAGGAACTGTTTTTACTGTTATTACAAATGGAGATTGGACAAGAAAGCGTTGAGGTGGCGAATTGCGGAGGCGAAATGTGGCTGTCTTAGACAGGTGGCCGACTTGCACACTGTCATTAGTAATACAGTATTATTATCATTCTTTTCATTATCTTTATCATTACTATTACTGTTATTATCATAGTATACAGCAGAAAATTTTTAAAAAAAGGGTTGAGACTTGGGAAAAATTTCCCCCAAATATTTTATAATACATTCAACATTTCGCCCGACTGTTATCATCATCATCATCAGCGTTACCTTTGCCTTGGGTGGCTGGCTGGACGGCGACACGCTGACGTCCATGGGAGAGCAGGTGGCGCCCCCTGTCCCTCTCGCCTCGCCGGGCACATCCGCGGCCGCTCTGGGTCTCGACGATCCCGTGGCAGATGCAGGGCCGGATGTCAACGATCCTGAGACTTTGGTCCCTGCTCCGTCTCCAACTGATTTCTCACTGGGGGGGAGAGGGGAAATGGGAGCGTGCGCATGAGTATATAGTGAGAGTATATAGAGTGTGTGTGTGAGTGTGCGTGTGAGTGTGTGAGGATATAGAGTGTGTGTGTGTGTGTGTGTGTGTGTGTGCGCGTGTGTGAGGAGAGGAGGGGAGATGGGTGCGTGCGTATGAGTATATAGTGTAAGTATATAGAGTGAAGGTGTGTGTGTGTGTGTGTGTGTGTGTGAGGAGTGGAGGGGAGCAAGGGGTGTGTGTGTGTGAGCATTGTGTGAGTACATAGAGTGAGTGTGCGTGTGTGTGTAAGTTTAACACATCCAAAGGAGCCAACTGGCTGCAGAAAATTTAAAAATCCGGAACTTTTTGAACCCCAGTGAAATGTGCACACAGGGACTCAAAACGTACAGATTATATTGTTTACTGCATTTTGTATCCATTATTTTATGAAAATATAGTGCAACATGACATGCATAAAGAGATGAAAATATAAACAAGTGGACAAACAT